TGACTAAGGATGAAAAAGAAAGTCATACTTTCTTACTATAAACAAAATTGAATGTTACACAAGCCACGAAGTGCTAAGCAAGAAAATAGTTTTAATTAAGTAACATAAAAGGTAGAAAAGCGTGTCGTAGACTTTATGAACATATGCGTGAGCTGAAACTAGTTGTGTGTCATAAATAAGTGCTCTTCCCACTGGGTTACAAATAACTAACAAGGCTATTCTCCTACGCAGCTTATACCAGTAGAAATTGAGCAGTTAGCATACAGAACAGACGTAAAAGGAATTCCAACCGATTGAATAAAGAATAAATGAATTTTTGGAGGGCAAGCATTCTGTTTAAACCGAAAATCAAATGCAAATCGGATGAAGAATCTGGCAGCCCAAAAAATAGTTCAAACATTAACTGTTTGCAGCAACAGCTGCGATTTTGCAAACACAGCATAAAAATAATTACCTGTCTAGGCGACATAAAGGAAAAGCAAACTGAAACCAGGAAGAAAGTTTGTAAAAACACTTGAACTGATGATGACTGTAGTTTTCCAACAGGAACAGAAATATATAATAAAATATACCTTGATCTCTGCCAATGTCACCTTCTGGACCATAACGAAAGCGTTCGTCTTGGTCAACTATTTCGGTCACTGGAAGTTTCACAGTTTTCTCTTCCGACTAAGAAATATACACAAATTTCGGTAACCTACATCGCTTTTCAGAGCACTCCTCATTCCACCGCGCAGAAGTACGTAATGAGCCAAGAACCTCTTACGTTTAAAAGACCGCTGGTATACTTTAAATCAAAACTTTTAGTTTTCAGAGGTCAAGGGTAACATATTGTTGTCCGGAGGTCTAATCTGTCTAAAAGTCTGAATTCATTATTATGTTACTTCTGCAGGAAAAATGTACATGAGCACTTATTACAATCTGAGCAGTGGAATGGTCAATAATAACCGAAAAATGTGTTTAGGCACGTTAGCTACCGGACGATCAAACTGACACTACCAAAAGTGTGCAGAAGGTTCGTTGAAAGTTATGCATCAGGAAGAATAGTCTTAAGCTGCTTAGGGGGGAACGTTGGAATCAGGTCAGTTTGATAGAGTGTAAAAAAAGAGAGGATTATAAGCGTAAAAGGCGAAAATTTCAGAAGTTGTATAAATAAATCATTTAAATTTATGCTTTTCACAGAGTTGGATAATTTATTTGACGCGGTCATGAACATATGGCCGGAAGCCGCGGCCTGAAGGGCAAGGTACATTTTCCATAACTGGATCCAGTATTTTACACATGCACATAGCATGTGTCACCATCACGACAACGGGAAACCTGATACGGCAGTCTTCGAAGGCTTATAATACGCAAAGTTATGCCTAGTTTCAAAAAATTAGAATATGCTGTGAAATATGTAGCACCGGCATGTTCACGTTACATAGGTCTGAGTAGCGTTTGCTGATGCCCTAAACTCCTGAACACATGACAACTGTGGAAAGATAAATTCATTTATGCGATACGCCTTCTATCTGCCCTCATTAAAGTCGTCTTAGGGACAGAGCGCCAAAGGTTTCCAGTACACCTGTCCGCCACAAATACACACATCCGGCTTCTCTGACTACTGCTGAGCTTCACTTGCTGTCCGGTTCATTCATTCTGCAGGGCGGCTTCCTTCTAAACCCGGTCCCTCCCAGCCCATTTCCCGGCTTTCTAGTTGCCTATAATTTGTTCCCCTTCTACTATACACCTTTTACCAGAACGTGGTTCGCTTTGTACAACGCGTCCGAATTTGATTTCAATTGCAGACCCCCCCCTACTTCCATGTTCTGGCTCACACTCAGCCTCTTTTGCTATTAGGGAGGCCGGCCCTACGGATTCAGCTGCATAGGATTTCGTGCATCCGGGTACGCAGGTGGCCTCCAGCCACAAGTCTTCCTGATGAATACTGGAGGTCAACACCTCATGGTATTTTCAGATGAGGGCTTAATGGCTAAACCACGGGTCTCGCTCAC